TCGTTGCTAGCATTAAACACTTCTATCTTTCTACTTCTATGAGTGCCCATCAATACACTTTCTGTTAGTTAATTAATTCAAGGAAAAGAACGGCGAGTTTATAATCAGTGTGCTGCGGGAACAGTTAGCATCTACACCTTAATACATTTGCTGCGGGAGACGGAGCACCCATGGGTGTATGCCCGGTGTGCTGTGATGTCGATTCCTAAAGCGGTAACACCACTCTTTAAAAACGTATATGTTATTAATGATGTTGTAACAGATGTTTAAGCATAAAAATTACTATTCTAGATGGATTCTATATGTACACAAACTCAAAGGACTATCGGCTGGATCAAAAAGCCAGGCTGGTCAGTCCAGTGGTCACGATAACAGACGGGCAGCAGAAATGTTTTCACTTCTTTTATTTGATGCACGGAGCTGAGGTTGGGACTTTGAATGTTTACATCAGCAGTACTAACGGGACCAGGTTCAGTCCTGTCTGGAGTAGGACTGGGACTCAGGGAATTTTCTATCTACTGGGGCAAGTTACAGTTAAGACCACATCTATGGTGAGTAATGCGAAATGTATTTGTTATTGTCAGCAAACATCCATTTTTTCGCCCCTCCCCCCTCCCGTCCGTTCAGTTTTATGAACATGAATATATTTTAATATTTTGGAAAATAACGGACCGATTGTAATTCCATTTAAGTGTGCTGACTCCGGACATCCATAGCGTAAGCTATGATATTTATTTATTACGATATTTATTTTTACATTAAAACCGTCTTTGTAGAGTTTTGGAAGGTTTACTTTCATTATTAATCTCAGGAAGTAATGTTACTAATCACACTATAACGGGTTCAACATGGGGTTAAAAAAAACCCAACAACTTCATGATTTTCTTATACAAAGTCGTAGTTAGTAGTGAACGGAACCAAAATAATACGTCGTTCAAGGTTGTTTAATTAAAGGCATATCCTCAAATTAGTGCTGAGTTATTGTATACATAGTTGGCTTTACGAAACTGACGTAAGCTCTATTTTATGAGCTGGAGGTGCAAATTTCTAACTATGCAGAAGGTTACCGTTTTACTGTACCAGCACTTTCGCCAGGAATATTAGCTAGGTCATTTATATGTGATATTCGTGACCCAGAGAAACTTTGATCTGGATAGAGCATCATTTATTATGACGATATGCCTTTGAAAACAAATTTAACTTGCGCTTGAAATTACCATGTTTACCGTAAAATCTAAAATGTCATTCTACTTGTTTACAAGGTTCAGAAAGATCAAAGGAATTGGCCTATAAGCAAAAACCTGATCATCTATGGACTAAAGAAAATGGCTATTTTATTCGGAAAAAAACAAAACAGATTGAAAACGTGTTCATGAATATTTGAACCGGCTATTTCCCGTGTTGGTTCCAGAGCTCCATTTTGGTGGAAACAAGAATTGACCCCCCCCCCCCTTTTTTCCATCCCCTCCCAACACGCTTGTCATATATAGGCGACTAATTAGGGTTTTTGCCACAAAAATCTGAAAGGCGAGGAACCAACAGTCTGCCACCAACAATAACGAAAAATTTGACAACTGAACTAGATATGCTAAACAAATGTGCACGCAAAATTCAAATGTTCGAGCAAGAGCGAAGCCTGTACCTTCCACTAGCATATAAAACTAGTGAACGCTAAGAAGTAGATATGGCAGATAAGCTGTGGGTCCTGATGGCAGGTTGGGTCTCTCCTAGTCTCTATACTCTAAGGCAGTCGTTCCCTCGTGGGATGCAATTTTGCCGAGAGTCCTGAATATAGCCGGGCCATACATATGGCCTAGCCATAGATATGGCCTAAACGGCTGAAAGGGGTTTCTGGGACCTCTCCACGGGTGATCCTCATCTGCATGGTCTTACTTTGTGTTATCTGGTGTTTAACGTTTGTTTAATGTCCTGGTGGCCGCATTAGCGCAGTCGATACGAGACTCGCTTTCAAATCCAGCTGCGACTCGCTGCAGCCCACGATCAGTGTTCGAAACCGGGCGGTTCCCGGGGTCGACCCAGTCTCTATGAAATAGGTACCAGAGTTGACTTTCTGGGGTAAATGGAGGAACGTCGCTGTAGCTACGGAGTTACGTGCGGACGGGGACACAGGCGGACAGCTTCTTATCAGCTGTCCGTAATGGTGGCAGAACACTTATGGTTTATAACCGTGTGCAATGACGCTGTTTCACATTTCCCAACATTACCTTGACACGACCTGCGCCCTTTCAAGGCCTCTTCTTTCAGCGCTCCTCTAATAGTCACTTCATTTGAATAGCGCTTCTATTTGTAGGTACTTGATCTTACCATATCTTGCCCACGCCCTATTTGTTTCCTAACCTTTATTTGAATTAACAATTGAGTTACACAAATAATCCCGGACAGTAATACAAACAACTGAGACAGACAGGGCCTAGTGCAGTGTTGCCACTTTTCTTTGGCAGAAAACATCCGAAACGGAGTCAAAAATTATCTTAAAACATCTAAATTTGCGTGGAAAACATCTAGAAAAAACATCCAAATGGAAAGAGTCACAAATTACATAGCAATTGATATGACTTACCCTATAGAATCATGTCCTCATCTTTACTGGTCTACCTTAAAAGATCCACAGGATAAACTTAGCTTGGATGATGAAGTTAAAGCTTCATATCCAAAATAACTCTGGTATGCTTTAGCTGTTCCAATTTCTTTTAATACCCAACCACGGAGCTGATAAGTGGAACAGCCTTTTCCTACTCTTCATCCAGTTTCTTAGGTTAGATTTGATAAATTCACCTCAAATGAACCCGTCTCTCTGGCGTAGTTGGCTAAACCGGATTGCGTGGTGAGCGGGTGACGAACTCCTTGTGGTCCGGGTTCACTCTCGGGGGTAGACAGAAAAGCTATATTTCTTCCAGATTTACGGTATTTAAAATGGAATCAAGGCCAAAAGGTTGCCTGCCATATCCATAATACCGAGCCTAAGGGTTAACAACTCATTGCTTCTGGATACTAAAACAAACAAACAAAAACCTCAAATGAAAAACATCTAGAAAAACATATATCATCTAAACATCAAAAACGCCATCTAAATGCAAGGAAAAACATCTACATCTGAATGTAAAACATCCAAAGTGGCAACACTGGCCCCGTGAAAGGAGAGTCAAGGAAATGACCTGTGTATACATGTAACAAAGGAAGAGGTGTTCTGAAAAAGCAAGGAAACAATTATGTAATTCGCTAGATTCGCTTTGGAAACGGTTTCTCCTGTAAACCTAGAGATGAAAGAGAAACACGCCAACAGGTCTTAGTCCAGACAGCGACCAGGTGACAATTTCTAGCGGTCTGTGTACATCAAAGAGTACTCATCCAAGTTTTGGATTGAAGGAAATCGGCCAAAGAGTCTGATTATATTAAACCTGGTGACAAACTCCTTGTGGTCCGGGTTCACTCCCGGGGGTAGGCAGACAAGCCACATTTATCCCAGATTTACGGTATTTATCAGGGAATCAAGGCCGAACGGTTGCGATATAAATTGTACCGAGCCAAAGGGTTAACAACTCATGGTTTCTTGATATTTAAAAATAATGTTTGAAATGTCACGAATTTGCAACCCCCCCCCCCCCCCCCTTCTCTCTCTCTCTCTCTCTCTCTCTCTCTCTCTCTCTCTCTCTCTCTCTCTCTCTTTCTCTGTTGACAAACTGCAAGAGAGTGCACCGCCATGTCGTTTCCCTTTGTTCCCATGGACGTCTGTGGCTAAGGCGTTGCGAACGCGCTTCGTAATGCTGCGGTGCCGAGTTCGATCCCAACTGCAGGCGATTTAGCAGCAGGCCGTCTTGCGTTAGTTTCGACAGTGGGGTCGAGAGCCGACTGTCCAGTAAGCAGTGGCAAACGACTGCATGTAAATTTGCCTTGGAAAACCACAACAGCCAAAAATAAATGTTGGGGTTGGTTCTACAACGTCCTGTAAAGGGTGCACAACTAACTAAAATGTAGGCCTAGGCTAAAGAAGCACGGGTCCTGTGAAGCTAGGCTAAGTAGGCGCGTATCCCGTGGCGATCTGCCAAGAAGGGGCACATTATAAAGAGTTCACCAACAAGGCGGTTTTTTTTTCTGTGTAAAAGTGGCGTATCAGACATATGAGGCTAGACTCACAAATTCGCAGGCCAGTCAGTTCTCGATGAGTGATGTAGTCAATATCATGCCGGCCGCATTTACTTCCCATGACTTTACCTGGCATCCGCTTAATTACTTATTTCAGTAACATCTGCGGCGTATTAAAAAATGTACAATTTAAGGCAAACAGCGGTGAATGGAGAGTGAGAAGCAACAACGAAATTCATAATCTGTTTAAATAACCACTGATCACTGACATCATGAGAGCTAATAGACTGAAATGGTTGGGGGATATTGAAGGAATGTTAGACGGCAGAGAGTTAAAAACTGTATAAACGAGAGAGATGAATGGTCGTAGACCATGGGGAAGACGAAGAAGACGATGGAGAGATAATGGCCAGACAGACCTGCAAACACTTGGTGTCACCAACTGGATTGAGAAAGCCAACCAGAGAGATGAATGGAAGCAGGTGATATCTGCAGCAATTAACCTCAAAGGTTCGGAATGCTGAAGAAGAAGAAGTGTAATTTAAGAATATTAGAGAATCTTTTAAGTAAAGTTAAGGGCTTTTCCTACGTCTTATATTAAAAAAAAAAATTAAAAAAAACCTCTTCCACACCAACAGGCTTATTGGGTTGGGTATATAGGGTTAGACCACTATTTTCTATACCAAATGGCACTTGGTGGGTGATGTTGTCAGCATCATGCCGACTGACTTTACTTTCCACTCAAGGCTGGGTTGAGCTGGGAATCTGAATCATTTTTTAAAGAAAAAAGTCTGGCTTTGTTAGGATTTGAACCCACAACCTTCGGATCCGCAGTGAGCACCTAGTAGCTACACCACCACGGCTCCTAAGTAAGAATATAAGATTATCTTTTACAGGTCATTGTTGAAGGCAGTGGGTCGTCAGGAAACCAAGGAGACATTGCCATTGACGACGTGTCACTTGTAGATGGTGCTTGTACATGTAAGTTGGTCACATGTGTGTGTGTGTCGTTTGAAACCCCTCCAGAACTGTACAACGAGTGTACATTCTATACGATATATAGTCGTCCGCATGTGGGATGCAATTTTTGGTTTTCTGAAGCCCCACGCTGGCTTCTGCCGGGGGCCCTGAATATAGCTGGGGCACAGATATGGCCTAGCCATAGATATGGCCTAACGGCTGAAAGGGGTTTCTGGGACCTTTCTATGGCTGATCCTCATCCGCATGGTGGGACTTTGTGTCACCGGGTGTTTATCACTTGTGTGATGTCCTGGTGTGATACTACTACCTACCTACCTACAACGAGCGACCAACATTCAGTGCAAGTCCCTGAAACCCTGTTCAACTATTGGGTTATATTAGCCCCCCCCCCCCCCCCCCCCCCCCACCTACCGATTACAGCCGGGATGGGATTATAAAATAACGAAAAATTGCGCACACACTGGGATGGTAATATTCTTTTATGAGGGGTGTAAGCGATCCCTTTAATCACGTACAGAGGTTCTCTTTTAAAGTTCTTGTGTATACATTCAGTATTATGTCAAACTTTTATTGTATCTGTTTCCCATACAAAACATCATTATTATTATTGTGACCTCAAACAAGACTTAACCCTCCTGATTTCCCCCCAAACCACACCTCCTATAATATTTTAAAGAGACAATTTGCCCCCCCCCCCCCCCCCCCCCCCCCCCGTTTTCTTTGTGTTGTTTGTGTTGATGCCCCTAATGTGTGTCTTCTTTGTTGCATATTGGATGTTTGGATGTGTATGATTGTTTATGTATAAGAGCGTGTGGTGTATGCACGTGTATATGCAATATGTTTGTGCACATGTGTGTGAGTGTATATGTAGTGATGTGTGTGTGTGTGTGTTGGGTATGTGTGTGTTGGGTGTGTGTGTGTGTTGGGTGTGTGTGTGTGCCTGAGTGTGTGTGTGTGTGTGGATGGGTGGGGCATGTCATTTTTTTGACAAGGTTGTAATCACAGACAACTAGAACATTCTCAGTCTTTCTCCTTGTCTTTAACATTGTTTTAACATTGCTTTTAATTATTTAAATTAAAATAGAGTTGCCTGCTCCTTCCCAACCTGTGGGTCAAGACACTTTTTTTTTTTTTGGGTCGAAGACCATAGGAAAACACATTCATTGAAGTTATAAAGTAGTAACGAAAATAATTGTATGTTTGGGGGTCGCCACAACATGAATAACTGTATAAAAGGTTTGTGGCATTAGGAAGGTTGAGAGCCATTGGTCTTGGCCCTACACCTGTAGCAACAGTTTGAGCAACTTCCAGTGCTTGGCAGACAATGGCATTTGGGTGGACTAGACGTAGTGTTAAGGTTAGTTGCGTATCCTTTACAGGGCATTGCAGAACCAACCCCAGCAGTCCCTGGCTGTTGTGTGGTTTCTCTAGGCAAATTTACGTCCAGTAGTTTGCCATTGCCTTCTGGACGGTCCCCCCCCCCCCCCCCCCCCCCCCTGATACCACTGTTGAAACCAACGCAAGGCACATGGCCTGCAGCTGTGATCGAAACTGACACCTAGGTATTACGAAGCGTTCGCTTTGACTTAGCCACAGAGCCGACAGACTTGGATAGTGGAAAGCCAAATTTACAGCACTCTTATGCCTAGATTGTTTTCAGGGAAGCACAACAGACAACCTCGTTCTAACATGCTCCCTAAATAAATGAGAAAGAGAACACCTGAAAGATGATTTTCAAAAATCAAATAGGTCATTGACATCAAGGGAATGCTTACATGTTGATAGTAATGAGAATATACAGACACAAATTAAGAAATTCATTTGATGGACACACACAAATTTGTAAATCTCCGTAGATAAAGATTTGATAAGAAAGAGACAGTAAGGTGAGAAAAGAGAATTTAGAATTAAATTATGTTTAACAACCTAAACTAGCCAAGATTTCCTAACTATCCACTTATAATAGTGGAAATTGAGAAAGTTTCACATATACAAACTAGTAACCAAGGTGCAATCAATTTGAAATGGGCACAACTACAGGGTATATGATATACAACACTAGTACCAATTTAAGGCTGGAACTATCTGGGAGCTAGGAAAAAAAGTATGGCTCCTTCGAGAACTGAACCCATGGCCTTCTGATCCACATGTGAGCATCTGGCCACTTCACCATGGCAACTCCCTTGAGTGTACGTGTGTATATACATGTGAATGTATACAGAAATTCCCACATGTGCATGCACGCGTGTATATCTTCTTCTTTGTGTTTACCGTCTATAAACTCTAGCAGAAAGTTATGGTTGTTCTGACTTATTTGTATGCAGACTGTTGGATACTCCTGTGTATTTATACATGTGTATGTATGCTAACATGCTTACGTGTATTCACTCTTGGGCGTGCAGATGTGTATGTTATGTATCCGTATATAATTGTACATGTATGTCTATATAATGTGTGTGGATATGTATAGTGAATACCAGTCCCTTCCCCAATAACTCTCACTAGGTACTAGAGTACTGGTCCAAATCACTAGTTTTGGTGCAAATCACTAGTTTTGGTGCAAATCACTAGTTTTGGTGCAAATCACTAGTTTTGGTGCAATTAATATTTCTTAGTCAACATAATTGGCAAAGACCACAGTTATAACTGATACCGCTCACAGTATGTTCAAAATGGGTAATTTTGTGTGTTTTGCTTTTCATAAATGGATGGATGGATGGATTAATGGATTGATGGATGGATGGATGGATGGATGGATGGATGGATGGATTTATGGATGGATTTATGGATGGATGGATGAATGGATGGATGGATGGATGGATGGATGGATGGATGGATGGATGGATGGATGGATGGATGGATGGATGGATGGATGGATGGATGGATGGATGGATGGAAGTCAGACTAGTTACCATCACTAAGGTAGTTCTTGGTGAAGCCATTCAATAACAAATTAAAAAAATGGTGCCATCTCTATAGTGAAGGTTAGCTGCAGTTCACCCACTGCTATCTATAGGAATATTACGTATTAAGACCCCTTTCTCTACTTTAGTTCATTGAGTTCAAGCTGTTATGTTAAACTTGTCTGCCTCATATTCTTTTATTTTAGCTTCCATATAGATACTGCAAATTACACAGACTTTAAAATGTAAAGTCTTGCATTCCCACATGTCCCACCTAGTAATGAAAGAGTTAAACTGTGTCAGTTCTAGTAAGAAATATAACTAATAGAATCACAAACCTTTCTTTTCCCAGCTGTTGGAGCTAATAATTCTGTCAACTCTCTGGCCTGTGATTTTGAGCTAGAGGACATCTGTGGTTATACTAACGCTCAGGAGAATTATATGAACTGGAGCAGAAATGTCGGTTTTGGAATTGCGGGCGTATCGCTTGATCATACAACAAGGACAGCTGGAGGTGAAGTTTAATGAATCCGTGAGAAAGAATGAACTGTAGAATATATGTTATAAATGTATTTATGTCTTCTGCTTTCCCAGGGATTGTAATTTAAAATGTAGGTTTTAATGTCTTTCTCCATCTTCATCAGCTTTTGTAGTTGTAAATGTATTAAATCTTCTGCTTTCCAAACTTCTTTTTTAGTTTAAAACATGATGTGAATGCATTTATATCTTCTGCTCTCCCAGCTGTTTTTTTTTTTTAAGTCTAAGAGATTGTATGAATGTATTTATATCTTCTGCTTTCCCAACTTTTGTAGTCTAAGACATGATGTCAATGTATTTATATCTTCTGCTTTCCCAACTTTTGTAGTCTAAGACATGATGTCAATGTATTTATATCTTCTGCTTTCCCAACTTTTGTAGTCTAAGACATGATGTCAATGTATTTATATCTTCTGCTTTCCAAGCTTGTGTAGTCTAAGACATGATGTGAATGTATTTATATCTTCTGCTCTTCCAGCTTTTTTTTTTAGTGTAAGACATGATGTCAATGTATTTATATCTTCTGCTTTCCCAACTTTTGTAGTCTAAGACATGATGTCAATGTATTTATATCTTCTGCTTTCCCAACTTTTGTAGTCTAAGACATGATGTCAATGTATTTATATCTTCTGCTTTCCAAACTTTTGTAGTCTAAGACATGATGTCAATGTATTTATATCTTCTGCTTTCCAAACTTTTGTAGTCTAAGACATGATGTCAATGTATTTATATCTTCTGCTTTCCCAACTTTTGTAGTCTAAGACATGATGTCAATGTATTTATATCTTCTGCTTTCCCAACTTTTGTAGTCTAAGACATGATGTCAATGTATTTAAATCTTCTACTTTCCAAGCTTTTTTTTTTAGTCTATGAAATGTTGTGATTGTCACCTTTCCAACTTTCTAGACAATAGTGTTATATTGCGTTTTGAAGAGGCATGGGACTCATAGCCCATGGCGATGGCGAGTGTGATATGATAATAATATACTGAAAAGATCAAGACAAAGACAGAGATTAAAAAAAACTGGATGTCTTGATCACTTAATTGTAATTAACAAGCATAAATATTTAATACTGAAAGAGAAAGAAAAACCCCTCTAAATATTTTAATTATAACCCGGATGGGTTCAAAAGAATGTTATGGTTTCAGCCACTACTATTACATGGCTTCAGCAGGACAAGAACATAGACCTGATCTGCCATTTCAGGGATTTTATGAGATGGCACACTATAACCACCTACATCTTTCTGTTTGGCACATAATCATGATGATTGATTCAATTAATAATTAACCTTTTCTTATTATATTTCAGATTCATGTCTTCTAATAATTACTTACTCACATGTGTTATTTTGTCATTATTGTAATATTATTATTTTACAGTGAATTTACAGTGAATATTGATATATTTGCAGGAGCTTTCATGGCAATAAGTGGATATGTCAATTGGCACGGAGCATTGAGATCCATAAAAGTCACAGCTCAGGGCTTGTACTGTCTGTCATTCTTTTATCGTCAACATGGTGCAATGGTAGGAATGCTGTCAGTCTCACTGGTGGATACTATTGAAAATTCCATCACTCAGTTGTGGATGGTGGAAGTAAATATTCCACTGGATCAGTGGGACAAAGCTCAGATTTCTCTCAATATATCCAGCGTCGTACAGGTAAGCCTAGAATATTCACAGTAGATTTATTAGTAATTGATTTTCAACAAGCATAAATAATGATAGCCTAGAATAAACACAGTAGGTTTGCTAGTAATTGATTTGCAACAATCATAAACAATTTTTAGCCTAGAAAAAATACAGAAGGTTTGTTAGTAATAGATTTTCCACAATCATAAATAATGTTAGCCAAGAATAAACACAGTAGGTTTGTTAGTAATTGATTTTCAACATTCATAAATAATGTCAAGTGTTTGATATATGTATTGTTTTATGTTTGCATGAAGTAAAAAAGAAAGAGAAATGTCAAGAATAATGTTTTTGACAATTTTACTAGCAGTTTAAATATCTAAATCCATGGATTTCATTAGATGGAAGATGTATCACAAAGAACAAGAACAAAATAGAACAGACAAAAACTGCATTTTATAAATTAAAGATGATCTTATACAATAAATTCCTGTCATTGCAGGTTAGGAAAAAATCAATTCTTTTATGCTACTTAGAAGCAGTTTGGACATGTTGAATGTTGGATTAGGAATCGACATCACAGCACTCCCATATGTGCTGAGTCCCCATCTTCAGCAGCAAGCAAAGAGTTTCATTTCCTATGGTACCAGTAACTGTCTGATTATATATCTATCTCATCCTTAACCTGAGTGTTGAGAGTCAGCCAGATCCCCTGGTAACTTTTTGCAGCGCCATTCTTCTTAGATCATAATGATCTATCTGTGCCTCCGCACTGTTTACTCACTCCCAAAGAGCCCTCACAATATCTAACTTGTCATAGAATTATTCACCACCAAGTGGTGCAGAGCCAACCAGTCTATCTGCCTGCTCATTTCCCAACACACCGGCCTGACCAGAAAAAAAATATCCGAAAAATACTAAGTAACGATCCAGCACCTCTGAAGTGATGCTTGCCACTCTTCCCGAAGCATGCCTGTTTTCACTTTTCTCAACACACTCTGTGAGTCAGTTACAATCACGGCATGTGTGTACAGCAGTTTTGACATTTGGCTGTGAATCCTGTACAGTTAGTAAAAAAGTCAAACAATTTGTTAAGGCCTAAAAAATGTGGTTTTACAGAAGAATGTATACAGTATCTCGTACAGCCAAATAAGTAACCCAGATGTATTGTGAGAAGCTAAGCACTACAAAACAAATTATCACAAACATCAGAATGGAGCAGTTATCATTTTGTGGCTACATTATAAGAAGTGAAAACATAAACCCGTGACAGCAGGAAAGATGCATGAACATCTAGAAAATCAACTCCTACCAAGGGGTTTTGAGAGTTACGGAAACAAACAAATGCTGTGATTCTGGCTCATGATGAATATGAGGGACTTCAAAATGAGGTAAAAACTGTGGTGGCATTACTGGATCTAGAAGATACCTACAACAGGATTTGGTATGACATCTTGATGTGTGTACCCTTGTGGATATGAAGCTCTGTCCCTGGATTGTCAACTGGATAGGAGCGGTCCTGTATAATCATCTGATTGCCTTTCACTTGGGCTCCTTGGGCTCATAGAGCTCTGAACTCCATTGAACCACTCCAGGGCTTCCACAGTGACCAGCCATTTTGGCAGGGCTTTTTAATATATACACAAGCAGCTAGCGGGATAGCAGCAACAGCAGCAGCAGCAACAGCAGCAGCAGCAACAGCAGCAGCAGCAGCAGCAACAGCAACAGCAGCAGCAACAGCAGCAGCAGCAGTACGCACTGGGAAGATTTTAACATTGGTCCATGGTGTCCTTGTTTACAGACATAAATTTTTTCACCGGGGACGCCAGTGTGTTGGGAAATAAAGAGGTGGACAGACTGGCTGGTTCTGCACAACTTGGTGGAATACTGATACATGATAAGGCAGACATGGTTAGTGCTTTGTGGGAGAGCGTGTACAATTTGGAGGAGCAGATGGATCACCACAGTCTGGTGAGATTGATGCAGTTGGGAGTGACGAGAGGTTCTGGCAGATGCTCGAGGCTCAGAAGAAAGGCAAGACAGACGTTTAATCAGAATACTACTGGCACCATTAGTATCAGAACTCTTCACTGGCTGCTGAAGATGGAGATGGAGCGTTTATGGGAAAGCCCCTAGTGCTGTGATGTTGGTTCTTGAATCAAATCAAATCAAATCAAATCAAGACATAGAAGAAACAAAACTGAAACATCCAGAAAACTGCAGACCATGCTATATAAGTTATGTAAATGGGGTGAGGACACAGATTCTATTATCAATCCCAATGAATGGGTAGTACTGGGGTATTTGTTAACTCTTTCAGTCCCAAACAATATGTGATAAATTTGCTAAATAAATGTAAAGAAATCTGGCTTTCTCAGTATTTAGCTAGTGGATTTTCCTAGTGGTAATGTATATGTAGTGACCTTTCAGGTAAAACCTTCTGGTACTTAACCCTACCAGACCTGAGGCTCTGAACCTAACTGCCCCCTATACCTGTGCTCCTGGGCATTAACGTGAAAAACCAACATGATTTACAAAAATATTAGTTACATGCAAACAAGTGGTTAAAAATAGGATGAAACGGGGAGACATTGTAGAAAATAGGTTTACCTTTCATCTAGTGCCAGTATTTCACCTTTGTGTGCTGATCCACTTAGCAGGATCAGCCTTGTTTCACAAAGTGAGCAGCAGATGTTGCTGTTTGAGGGACATGTCCCGTTCTCTTACTATCGATCTAGTTATAGATCTATAATTTTCAAGATTCTCCTCATCAGTCGAGCGCTCACTGACTGTCACTTGAAACAGGAACATATTCTTCATGAAATTCTGACTCCTCGGCATCTGAATCAACCAAAGTATCGATCACTTATTGGACTGTGAAAAGCCTAGACATACTTCACTTTCCTGTCAAAGTGCTTGGTTTCTCAGCCGCTTGTTTCATTGCGAATTTTAAGAATTTTATGTTGGAAGAATTTAGCTAGTATGATTCTGTATTTCAGCCTTGCAGTTAAGGTTAATATATACAAATCACTGATTCTTATAAGGATGTGAGAGTTGGACTCTCAGTGTGGAAATGGGAAGGAGGATTCAGGCTTTCGAATGTAAATGTTACAGATGATTTTTACGAATTAGTTATTTAGAACACAAAACTAGCAAATATGTCAGAGACAAAATATGCAAATTTGCAGGACATGAGGAGCCTCCCTTGGCAGTTGTGAAATGTTGCAAGCTGGCTTGGTTGGGGCACATGGTGAGACTGTACTTCAAGGAACATTGTGGGGTAGTCAAAGAAGTTGAGAGCAAAGAAGTTCTGGAATTACAACATCAAGAAATGGACAGGATTAAATTATCATACACTTATTCATCAAGCGGAAGACAGAGAAAGATTGCAGATTTTGTATGCTAATGCTTCAATCGATAGACCTGCATGACCATAACAGGTCAAGGGTTATGTTATGTTAGGTTATTCTGGATTTCCAGACAATATTATAACATTGTACAAAAGGGAGATATAGGAATTACAGACTATGATGTTACCTCTGTTTTGTTATTTGTTCTCAAACCCTTAGCACTTAACTTACTTGGAATCATTTTCTCCTTTTTCTGTAATGCCCTTCTGATCTTTATCCTGTATGCATTGCTACCTATCATAAGCTAAATATATGTATTATTCATGTCCATCTTCCATTTTTATATCAAAGTAGAGGCCACCTCAAGATCTGTCACCCATCTGTAATTCAGAATAGGGACCCTTAAGGACCTTACAATTCCCAATCCTCTAGATATGTCCTAGCTATCTTAGGGTTACAAAAATCATCACCGAGAAACCACTACAACACCCCTCTGAATAATTTAGACCTTAGAATAATTTCTTCTTCTTTTTCTTTGCATTTGGTTTTGTATGCTCAGATCAGACCATCAGGAGAGTTACCTCTATGAACTCGCATGTCAGCTGCAGGTCCTTCATGGTTCCCCATAGCTTGCTCTGCACACTGTGCTCTTGAGGCCATGTGTTTTTTTAAAGTTGCAGTTAGAGTGGGCAGGTCTGCAGAATGTGCTCAGGTGTTTGTGGTCCTGTTTGACAGGCACACTGTGGGGACTACAATCTTAATTTTATGCATGTGGTAGTTAAGCCTGCAGTGACCTGTTCAGAATTATATAATGTGCTAAAACAAAGTTTTACATTAATTCATTGTCTGCAAGGTGTCCTTTGATGCTATAATGTCTGGAGAAGCAGGCAGCCTGTCTATTGATGATATCAGCATCACAAATGGTTCTTGTGAAACACCACGTAAGTTATTTAGGTATGTTATCTGTTGTTTGCCTAACAGTCAGTATAAGTTGCACAAAGTAAAGAAAGCTGGGAAAGCCTTTCAGACTAAGAGAAAAAATCTAGCCTTAGAGGCCCAATATGCCACTGGCATGAAAAGGCTCTGTTTTTTCTTTACTTTAGGTGTTTGTTATCTGCAGTATCCGTATTCCTGTACATAAGGTAATAAGTAATTTATGGCTGCTCTACTATGGAAATATGATATAGTATTTTGTTTGACTTAGGAATGATGATATCAGGAGTTGAGTTGATGAAGAACCAATACTCACATTTCTTGGTACACAACAGATCAAATGGTTTGGCCATGTAACGAGATTGGCATCAGAGAGGGCACCACAGATAGCAATTTTATACTGATATAGTGGTAAAAAAAAGAGCCAACCAAGAGGTTTTGAAAGAGGAGGCAGTCCAAAAACAACTTATCACAGACATCAGAAGGAGACATCATTTTTCGGCCATGTTATGAGAAGAGGGAAAATAGACCATGTTGTGACCACTGGAAAGATCTGTGGAAGGAGGGATAGAGGAAGACAAGGAGAGAAGATTCTTGACAGTCTTATTGCATGGCATGGAGGTGTGTTGGCACACAAACTGATACATGCTGCAGGAGATCGTGGATTATGGAGAGGTGGGATTGCCCACGCCAGTCGGCAAGGCACCTGATGATGGTGACAGTTGTAACAGAGCCAGAGTGCGACCACACAGATAATAGACCACAGAAATGTCATAGACAATGACAAGTACTTTATACGAAGTGAACAGAAGAGCTGGTTCCAGAGATCTCTTCCTGCCCTGACGCTGCAGGTATTCCAGGAGTAGAGCAAAGAAGAAGAAGAAGATTATAATGAAAAAAACACTTCTTCTTCAGCATTCTGAGCCCTTGAGGTATATTGCTGCAGATATCACCCACCTCCATTCATCTCTCGGGTTGGCCTTCTCTTTCCAGTTGGTGACACCAAGTGTTTGCAGGTCTGTCTAGATATTATCTCTCCATTGTCTTCTTGGTCTCCCTCGTGGTCTATGACCATTTATCTCCCTGGTGTATACAGTTTTTACTCCTCTGTCATCTGACATTCTTTCAATATGCCCCATTTCAGGTTATTAGCTCTCATGATGCCAGTGATCAGTGGTGATTTAAATAGATTTTGAATTTCGTTGTTGCTTCTCACTCTCAATTCACCGCTGTTTGCATCTTTGATGGGTGAAAAAAAAACAACTTTAAATTGTCACACAAAAAAACCACTTACATAATTAATATTTAGCTTGATTAATAAATCATTAGTCATTTAATAAGTGAATAATTTAGTAAATTAGTAAATTAGTAAATGGAGGGATACATTAAGAACAGCCTTACAGAAATGAACATCAATCTTAATAGGGCATCAAGTAATTCTGAAACTGAGAACATTTGTACTTGTAACAATCCAGATTTTCAGCTTTAACAGTCATAAAAACAAAACAGCCCTGCCAGCTTTATGTGGAGAGTGATCTCCATTGCACAGATAAATCTGGCTGTCACCCAAAAATAACAATAAATGATGAAGAAATTGAAAATGTCACAAACTTTGAATATCTAGGCTCTATAATAAACAACAATGGAGACTGTTCGACAGAAATTAAAAGGAGGATGGCCATAGCAATGCAAAGATTGAACAGCCTTAAAAGTCTATGGTTAAGCACCAGCAAGGAGATAAAAAATAGAATTTTGAGAGCATGCATCTTCCCTGTGGCTACATACGGATGTGAGTCGTGGACTATCTCTCAGTCCTTAAGAAAGAGAATAGGGGCTTTTGAGCTGAAATGCTATAGAAAGATTCTCAGAATATCTTGGACAAAGAAGATGAGAAATATTGACATCTTAAAAGATCTGAACATCAAGGAAGATTGGCTAATAAACAGCATCCTTTCTCGAAAGCTGAAATATTTTATTCACATCAAGCGCCACGACGGATTGGAAAAAAATTATGGCAGAAGGCATGGTACCAGGAAGGAGGGGCAGGTGCCGACCGACACGAAGATGGGTACAGGATATGAGTGACTCCTTGAGTGTGAAAGTTCATGAGGCGGGAGAACTGGCAAGAGACTGAGTTTCTTACAGGCAGACTGTGATGAGAGCGACGTTCTGCAAAGGACCTGCTACATGATGATGATGATCTCCATTGTGTCTTGTCCAACATCAGACCAAAAATTAGCAGACATCATCAAGACAACACAATGTCAACCATCAGATTGATATTTGGACACTATATTACCAGTTGCTAGTGATTGTTTATTTTGTTTTTTGACACTTTCAATTATGTGTGTTGATTTTTCTTCAAGTTCTGGGTCTTGTCATATATTCAGATGAAGGGGAGTGTGGGAGTCTTTGTCATGTACTCAGGGGGAAGGTAAGCTTGGAGGTCTTATCATATACTCAAGAGGAAAGAGAAGTGCAGGGGTCTTGTCATATAATCAACGGGAGAGGGGGCCACCTGAGAGAGGTGGCAGACCACTGCTCTACAGGGAAGCTGATAATCTATGAGAGTTTTGCACAAAGCACAAACTCTGTTTCTCTAGGATCCCCAGGGATCTCCTCAATATCTGCACTCTGGAACAAAATGAGGGAATCTGAATGCAAACCCGCCAAATTTCAAACTGTGTAGGAAATGATTCAGCCAGTTTGTCATGAAAACCTCCTGCTAAAAATTGAATGAGTTTTAAGATATTACACATATTACATTCTAAGTATACCTTCCTCCAATATATTTAATGTGTGAAAATACAGCATGAATTGTATTTTTGATTCATGCATTACAAAAACAAAAACATCAGTAACAGTAAAGAAGATATCCCCCCCCCCCCCACCACTCAACTAAAGTGAACTGCAGCTTTGACAGGTATGATTTGTGCTCATGGAGAAATGATCTGATACATGATGAGTTTGACTGGGAAGTTGCTACCCCAGACAGTGATGCCCAGATTCTGGCACCATGGAGAGATGCTGACAACAATGAACATGGTAAACTTGTATAATCTTCCTGTTCATCATCATCACTACCATCCTCATTATCATCGCATCTTCATCATCATCATTATCATTATCATCATGTTAGTTCTAAGTGGGTTAACATAACCTTGACCCATTAGGGTCGTGGAGGTGTATTGATGGAAGTACTAGCACATAAAACCTGCCATCTTTCTCTGTTTTCTACTTGATGAATAAGTGTATGAAAACTTAGTCATGTCCATTTCTTGATGTTGTCATTCCAGTTTTTTCTTTGCCCTCCTCTTCTTCGACTACTTCCCTATGTTCCTTGAAGCACATTCTCTACAGTCGAATCAGAATCATGTCTCAACACCTACCTAAACCAAGTTAGCTTGCAATGTTTCACCACTGTCAAGAAAGGCTCCTGATATCCTCAAAATTTTTATTTGATCTTATCTTTAATTTTCATCAATTTAGTTTTCAGGATTGCACCAGTAATGCAGAGTCTAGTGGTTGTAGGTTCAAATATCTATCAAGGTTGATTTTAGAAAATGATATGGCTCCATTTGACGAAGGCTATATTGGGTACCATAATTTTCTAAAAAGGGAAAAACAAAGGTAGCTTGTTTGATACTGACCCGATTAACCACCTAATATTTATTGGCCTATCAAAGTGTATAGCTAACACAATATACCCAGTAAGATTCAAATCATGGAAATGAGACTTTTGCTTTGTTTATAGTACTTATTTTGGCTAGAAAATCTGAGCCCATTTTCTTGTATTCCTCTATGGTATGATTACTCTTCATTGTTCTGTAGCAAACCTATAAATAACTGAGTCAATGTCAACTCAATCATTCAGTCTGTTCCATTTAATGTCAACTTAATGACTAATATGTCTTTTGCAATGTCATCTCAGTCACTTATATGCTTCATGTAATGTCAGCTCAATCAATTTTATGTCCCATATCATGTCACCTCATTCATTCAGATATTCTATGGCATGTCAACTGAGTCAGCTATCCAATTTCATATTAACTCAATTAATCAAATATTCCATTTAGTGGCAGCTCAGTCAGATGGTCCATATAATTTCAACTCAATTAATTAAATGTTCAGTATCGCATGAGCTAAATCAGTCAGATTCCTGGGTCATGTCAACATAATCAGTCAAATGTTCCATGCCATATCAACTCAGTCAATAAATCAGATAGTCCATGTTATGTTGAATCAATTGGTCAATCAGTCGGATGCTGCATGTGATTTATATCAACTCAGTCAGTCTATCAGATTGCCCATGTCATGTCAAATTATACCAATGATAAATTAAATGAAACTGATTCATGAAGAGAACTGATTGCCCTCATCAAAAGGAGACAATCCACATTCTTTTGTCATGTGATGAGAAGGAGAAAACTGGAGTACATTGTGACATTGGGACAGTTGGAGAGGCAGAGGGAGACAGAGAGAAAAGATGCTGGACAGTTTGACATCATGGCATGGAGTTTTATCTCTGACAGAATTGACTAAAGGTATACAATACAGAAGGTTGTAAATAGACATGACTATCATCGCCACATGGCATGGACTTTAAGTTACCTACATTTGTATCAGCAAAATCTGCACATTTAATCATATTAAGAAGATATTTACAGGTGGCTTTATTCTGTTGGATATGGCAAGAAACCCCAATAAGGAACAAGCTTACTTAATCAGTGAGGTAATACCACCTGAAGGCATTCAATGTTTCAGGTAAGATAACCTACTACCACAGGTTTATTTAAATTTCAGTGTTCAAAAGACTCTTAGAATACAAATATTTCATCAACACAATGTTTTAAAGTTTATTATGCTTAAAAAAAGTGGACACTCAAATATATTCTGGATGGATAGATAGCTCTCTCCACTGGTTAAACACTCTGGTATTAACAGGGAAATCAAAAGTCATAACTCCTTCAGTCTTTCTCAGACACCTCATTTCCATAGTTACTAATTTTCCTTTATGTTTTTTTTTTGTGTGTGAGTAACCACGTCTGACATTGGTAGCACAGAGTGGGAATGAATCTTTTTTATATGAGATGTTTCTTTGTGCTGACTGGGATTGCCTTATGCTGTAAGAGGAATTTTATTTTACTGTTTTTAATATGTATCAGTTATAACAGAACTCTGCAGTGTAATGTTGAAAAAATAATAGGTGTTGAAAACCTTCACATTTCCTATAAAGAATATAAACAGATCTAATATGAGAGTAAGAGAACTCTCAAGAACATGAGGGAACTTTTAAGAATGACAAAGTAATAAAAACAACAAAACTGAGTACAATAGGTTATTGCAGACAGAAACAGAGGTTGATGACATTTGGCAGTTAGCAACTCTTGTGGCAGTAGAAAGCATGAGCACAGCTGGGGGACAAAATGGATATATTTACAGTCATTTGGCTATGGAAAATTTATACAGTCCTACACATTTGATAACTCTTTATAACAGATAGAGCACATTTGGGCCCCAAATAATATGACCTTACTCAAGCTTATCAATCAGTCAGAATTTCTTTGTTTCATACATGTTAAATTAGTCCTGGTCTAGTTTTTTTATGAACTTGTGTCGAATTATTTTAACAATATTTTCATGTTCTTTTACAGCCAATTTTTTTTTTTTATTAGAAGGGCAGTAAGAAAATGAGAGTTTACATCATAATATCACAATCTCATATATATTTGTATTTGTCAGGCTACATTCTTATGAGAGATAACCAAGGCAGACTGCTCACCACAGAACAAAAACAAGACATGCAGTGGACTAAACACTTCTCCAACCTCTTGAACAGACCTGATCCTGAAAATCCCCCAGATATTCAACCAGCCTCTCAGGACATTGACATTATTACTGAGCCACCAAGCAAACAAGAAATCCTTAAAGCTATCCACACTTTAAAGAACAACAAAGCACCAGGCAAAGATGAACTGCCAGCAGAACTTCTCAAAGTAGATCCCAACACAACTGCTAGCATTCTAGAACCATTGTTCAAGGATATTTGGGAAAAAGAAGTGTTGCCTGATGACTGGACTAAAGGAACAATAGTCAAAATCCCCAAAAAATGAGACTTAACAGACTGCAATAATTGGAGAGGAATTACTCTACTCTCAGTACCAAGCGAAATATTTTGTAAAATCATCATAATGCGGCTTGAAAAAGGAGTAGATAAATACTTACGAGTGGAACAAGCAGGATTCAGAAAGGAGAGAGGAACAACTGAGCACATCTTCGCCATACGTAATATTTTAGAACAATGCAACGAATGGCAGAGAAGTATATATATATATTAATTTTGTGGACTTTGAGAAAGCTTTTGACAGTGTCCATAGAGATGGTCTGTGGAAAATCTTACGACATTATGGAATTCCAGAAAAAATAGTCAACATAATTGGTCTCTTCTATAAAGGCTTTTCCTGCAGTATAAAAAATTACAATACATCTTTCCCAGTAAAGACGGGTGTAAGACAGGGATGTGTTATGTCATCTCTCCTCTTCAACCTTGTGATTGATTGGATACTAAAGAACACAGTAGACAGGACATTAAGAGGCATTCGATGGACTCCATTCACCATGCTTGAGGACCTTGATTTTGCAGATGATATAGCACTCCTATCACATAAACATGAACATATACAAGAGAAAAGTAACAGACTAAACTGCACAGCAGAAATGGTGGGACTGAGAATAAATACAAAGAAAACTAAGATCATGACAAACAGTCCAAACCAACAACCAGTGACCATAAGTAAAAAATCACTTGAAAATGTAGAACATTTCACATATCTTGGCAGTGTGGTGTCCCTACTCGGAGGGACAGAGGAAGACATACAGTCACGTCTGAACAAAGCTAGAGCTGCTTTTGGAAGGATGAGGCAAATCTGGAAATCCAACAATTACTGCAGAGGAACGAAACTCCGACTCTACAAGAGTATCATTTTGCCAGTTCTTCTTTATGGAGCGGAATTCTGGAGAATGACCAAAAAGGATGCACACAAGCTGTCCACCTTCCACCACACATGTCTACGTAGAATTATCAAAATTTTCTGGCCAGTTACAATCTCAAACACTAAACTACTTCAAGCCACAAAACCAAGAAACTTTAGACAGTATGATTACCAAGAGAAGATGGAAATGGCTTGGCCACGTTATGAGAATGACTTCTGATATACCTGCCAAAACATTTCTCACATGGACACCAGAGGGAAAGAGAAAACAGGAGCGCCCAAAAACAACATGGCGACAAACGATGGAAAGTGACCTGAGTGCGGCATGTTTGACATGGAAAACTGCATTGAAGATTGCACAGGACAGGAAAGCATGGAAAGTCCTCTCTGAAGCCTCATGTGCCACTAGACATAACGAGAACTGATGATGACATTCTTATGACAGAATCTGTCACATGAACACTTTTGCCTTTCCTTTAAAACAGTACACAATTAGACCAAATTAATCAAAATCTCTTTACTTGTTCGAGAAAGGCCACCAGCCGAAACGTTGTTTTCGTTGATTTGTGCACATTTTTCTGCTTGCCCATTTTATTTAGCTTTTTAGTCAAATTTAACTGCAATTCCTTGAAAAAAAAGTTGAATGTTGAATTAAGAATCAACATCATAGCACTTGGTACACTTCAATAAGTGCTCCATCCCCATCTTTAGCAGCAAGCCAAGAGTTCAATTCTAATGGCACCAGTAACTGTCTGATTGTAAATTCGTCTCATCTTTTCTTTGAGTGTTAAGCATCTGCCAGATTTCCTGTTAACTGCTTTCAGTGCTATTCTCCTCAGACCATAATGATCTGTTTATGTCTCCCCACTGTTCACTCACTTCCAAAGGGCCATCACCTCATCTAGCTTGTCATACATTAATTCACCAT